GGGGGAATGCTCAATGGGGACAGTATGGACTCCATACTGTCCCCATTGAGCATCCCCCCCACATACACTTTTTACTGTAATTTAAATAGACAAAACTATTTTTTAAAACATCTCTAATTGATGATTTTCCTGATCCCCCACTGATATCTCTCCTGCGCAATGAGGAGAGAAAGCAGGGGAAGAATCCACAGAAGCGGGCACCAGATAGAAAAACTTTTTTTGGAAGTAAATTATTTTGTTGTAAATGCTCTGAACTATTTAATGTCTGTTTTTGGCGTTTATTATTTAAATATTTAGGCTATTTCTTAAAAGGGAAAGTAAATAAAAAAGTTAGAAAAAAAATGTTTTATTGTAATTATGCATCATGCATTTTAATTATTAAAAGTACAGGCTTTGTTATTATAAAAAAGTGCAGGCTTTGTTATTATACCGTGTGATATACTGTATATGCCGCTGTATTATACTGTGTGATATGCTGTATAGATCACGGTATTATACTGTGTGAACCAGCCCGACCCTCGACTTGGAGCATTTTTTTAAATTTTGGCCCACTGTGTATTTGAGTTTGACATCTCTGGCCTAGAGTGTGGTACCGTGCGCTAGGGGTGTTGCATTGCCATTCACTTGAATGATACACCAACACACCTCCTGACAGCCATGTATTGCAACGCAGCAGTGGAAAAAAAAAAAAAGTAGTGCATGCTCCAGAAAAAAATGCTTGAATCTCCCTTGCTGGCTACTGTACTCGGACAGCTGCCACCCACTTCTGTCAGAATACCCCAAAAGTGACTGCGGCCAATTAGCCCTCGTTCACACCTAGGCGTATTGCAAAAGCGCGACCGTCGCGCGTTTTTTTACCGCGATTAAAAAAGTTGCGCGATTCCAAAGTCTACTTGGCTGTATTCCAATGGAAAACGCCCTACAAAACGGCCCAAAGTAGTAACTGTACCTTTTCAGGCGTGGGCCGTTTTGTAGCGCGTTCGGGACGGGCGGAAATACGGCAAGGTGGGAACGAGTCCATTGACTCCAATGCAATTTATATTTTTGAGCGTTTTGTAGAGCGTTCTTCGAGCGTAGAACGCACTACAAAACGTTCAGGTGTGAACGAGGGCTTAGTTGCAGTCAATGCTCGGCTGACAATTTTTGTCAGTTATGACAGACAAAAAAAAAAAAGTGTATTCGTTATTAACAAGAGAAGCGTTTAGTCTGCATATGCCTAATGTCTTGGGGAACAAAGGGTGGGGTATGAAGGCACTACCATATTTACATGCTTGGGAGATGGAAAGGTTAATTTGTTCTCGGACCAAAAAAGCATCCCAATGTATCCCTATGGTATTTCTGGGCTCCGTTCACAACAGCGCAGTCCGTTCCGGACCAGACAAAGGAAATACTGCTTGTCTCATTTTCCCTGGTCTGGAATGCACTGGAACTCATGGAAACACATCAAAAACACACAAAACGCACATGAAAGCCCATTTTAGGCTAAAAAAAAAAAAAAAAAAAAACTGCTCCAGATGCAATACCCACCTTGTAACATGGAAGGGGGGTCCCCGCGGGCAGTTGGAGGTCAGACACGCTGTTTCCCACAGCCCCAAGTCCAGCAGCACCTGTCTCCATCGTTCCCCGCCGCTCTGAGAAGTTTGCCGCGTGGAGCCGCTGTGTAGTGGGCACAGAACGAAGGGGGGAGTTTAGTGAGCGATTTCTGTGCATTCCAGCAGCTGCTGCTCTCAAACGCACCCCAATTGGTGTGAATGGGCCCTTACAGCTATAGAGGGTGACAGCTATAGAGGGTGACTCCTTAGGGTAAGCTCATCAGTAAAGGACTGCAGCGAATCAAACAAACAGTCTCTACAGCCAATGGCTTAGAAGCAGCCGCTAAGGCCTATGGCAAATAAGACATAGAATCGGCAGGAGAGGGTGCAGAAGCGCACTTAGGGCTTCTGCGAGTCAGCAAATAACTGGGTGATTTGGATCCAAAAAAATCTCAGCCAAGAGGGGAGAGGGTCCAGTCACACCCGATTGAACCAAAGAGAACTAAGAGAAGAGGATAATATGATTCTAGGCTGCAGACGTCCACGCCATCAGCAAGCATGCAGCCCTGGAATCATTAGTAAAATGTGAGCTTGGAACTCACAGTACAGCAGGGCTATTGCCCCCGTCCACCCCAATTTCTAGAATCAGACATGTTGTGGCCACAAGAAAGTAAGGCAATGTATAGGCTCTGGGTAAGGGTACGTACACAACATATGCAGTGCGTTCCGGCCCGAACACACTGCATCGCATTGTGGCCGTCTCACTATTTCGTGGGGCTGGAGGGGGCGCGGCGGGCCATTGAAGTGAATGGCACGTGGGCCACGCCCTCTGACCACAATGCGATCGCCCGCACGGGATCGCAGGGCACAATAGTGACCACGGTGTGGTCACTATTGACCGCACCATGTGCCCTGCGATCCATTGCGGGCGATCGCATTGCAGCCGGAGGTCGTGGCTACGGTGCCATTCACTTCAATGACCCGCCACGCCCCCTCCATCCCTACAAAATAGTGAGTCGGCCACATTGCGATGCAGTACGTTCCGGCCGGAAAGCACTGCATATGGTGTGAACGTACCCTCACAGGCAAGGCCTCAGATACTCGCGAAACCCAGAGAGCTGGTAGCAGGTAAGTGTTGGATGGCTGGAGTTGACCAAGGTCCCTTTAGGTGGACAGCAGAAAAAGATCGAAGATTGAAGTTCCGTGTGGCTCTTTGCATGCAGAAGCAGCAGTGGGAAGATGTTTCCTCAATCCAGGAAATTACTTCAGAGATTGGTATCACAGAGTTAACCTCTTCTGTGGCAAACTCTTGCCCAGCAACCTAAGAAACTGAGATAGCTCCCACTAGTTTGACCCAACCAGCCTACTCAGTAAGTGAATCTTCAAGGCAAGCATTGAGGCAATGCCAGCAGGCTGGAAAGCGCTCTACAGCAAAACTTTTACCAGAGTGGAGTCTGGAAAATGTCCTATGCGGAACCCAGTGCTTGAAGGCCAATTCCCGGCTATTCCCTGGCCTACAGTATTTTTTAATTTGCCAGTGTCCAATGCTCCTGTAGGCAGCAGTATAACCCGAAGGTTAAAGACTTGCTGTGTCCTTCAATGGACAAGAAACAAAAAATAACTTATTTATGCAAGGTGTGTTAGGATACACTTTAATATCACACATATTATTAGACTGCAGTAACTTCAAGTGCTTTGATATTATGAGAATTTAGGGTGGTTCACACTATAGTGTTGCTCTAAAGGAACAGTTTCTGTGTGCTGAGTGCACCCTATCGCACAGTGCTATGCACTGAACCCTAGGTGTGCGCTGGTGTGTTGCTGTTCATTCTGAATGGCACTACAAACGGTGGGCGGGCATTGCACTGCAACATGTTGTGTCAAAATCTCATCCACTGTGGTGTCTTGCAGTAAAACAATAATGCTGAAAGTATTAAGCCAGTGGGTCAGCATAATAGCCCGGTAACTAGCATTTTCAGAAGAAAGGCAGCAGCCACTATAAATCACTCTCAGGAAATGTTTAATTTAAAGTAGGGAATTATGTTTTGCTTGAATTGGATTGCATACACACAAGGTTACCACCCAGTATGTGCAGAGGGCACAGAACAGGTAATACAGCTTTCAAACCTTTGGGGAATCCATGGAAGAAGTAAATACTGCAAAGTATCAGCTACTACATCCATATTTGCAAGAAGTTCACAATATGGGTCTACATTGTTTAGCAGGGAAATTAATCTATCCTATTTTCTTAGCCAATAACTGATCATAGAATGCAGGACCCCATGTCTGTCCCATAAAATAGAGATTCAAACACAAATGCAAAAGTGTTTTACTTAAACATGTGAGTACATTTCAGATTCCTACTCCTACCTTTCAGATACTGAAGAGCTTCAATCGCTGGCCATTCAACATCATCAGCACCTCCAAGCGATCACACTCCACATGGACGACTTGGAGGACAGGAGCCGACGAAATAATGTCAGGCTCCGTGGCATACCTGAAGCCACCGGCTCTCCTGACTTAGAACACACAGTCAGAGGCATCCTGAACTTATTTCTAGATCGGCCAGCAACAGCAGCCCTGGAGATTGATCGAGTACATCGCGTACCTGGATACCGCAACCCTTCAATGACACAGCCACGTGATATCCTCTGCAGGATCCATTTTTTCCACCAAAAAGAGGAAATCATGGATAAGGTCAGAGAGAAAGGCACACTGGACTTTGATGGGGCCGAGATCTCAGTATACCCAGATCTCTCCCAGCGCACTCTTGCCAGACGAAGGGCTCTTCGTCCCCTGACCAAGGCACTGCGGGACAGCAACATCCCATACCGCTGGGGATTCCCCTTTCATCTATTAGTAAGAAAAAAATGGCAAAGCGGTCATTCTTCGCTCCCATGCAGACCTTGATGTCTTTGTCAAGATTCTGGGGATCTCCGCAGTAGAATTGGAACCCTGGCCTGATCCTCCGACTCCTGCCCTTACTACTATCCAGGGCCACGGCCGGTGGCGCCCTCCCAACGGAAACGTCGCAAGGAAAACGCCGACACACAGCAGTCGCAATGATGGCTTAAGGATGATGGCTTAAGGATGTCCCGATTGAACACTGTTCTCTAGTGTACATTTCCTTCTTCCAGGAACATTATCTTCTCCCTCAATGCAATTATTCTCTACCCTTTCCCAAACGCAAGTATTACAGTTCTAACATTACGGATTGGGACTATGCTAATTTTCCCCTCTGCATAACTTACGTGCTAATATTTACCTGCTTATTCCTATACTGCTAATATATTGATGCCAATGCTAGAGATATACAATACCGGGTGTGAAGACGGATATCCCCCAGAACACTATAAGACTGGGGGGTTTCTGCCTATATCTCCTGATATAAAATATTCAACATAAAAGCTGAGGTCTACATAGTAGGAGAAGAGGAGATATGTATTATTCTGGTAGTGTAACATGTATTGACAAGCGTGGAACATATCTGACATATGTGTATCAATATCTGTGATATAGGATGTATTTTGCTCATTGGTCTATCCCACCTCTCCTTAGTGTACTATACAGACTGAGTTGCTACCTATAGCTCCACTGCTCTCTAGGGGGCGGGGATCTGTGGCGATGGGCAACACCTTTCCAATGATATCTATTGGACGCGCATTTGTGCTATACGGGATCACTTGTGTGGCTCGTGGCTGCAGATTCCCCACCATCCACGCCACACTGCCTATTTGTATCTAGTTACAAAAAAAAAAAAAAAAGGCAGTTGTGGCATCACAAGTGGGACTTTCCCCACATGAGAAAAATGCCCACAGATCCTTTTGCTTGATCTACTTACACCCTGTCACTGCTCATAACCCATGAAGTAGATAAGTGCGCTACCTACCAAGGGACTTCTTCCCCTGATATCCCTTCCATGTACTCCCTCTATGCACCCAAAATTAATCAAGTGATGCAACACAATTAATGCTTATGTACATCTTTTGTCATCTAATGAAATTTCCATTCCTCAGATAACCCTCCCTTTCCCCTCTTCCTCTGAGAGAGGGTGGGAATGGAGGAGAACAGCGAAACCTCCTAACGTTCCCTAACTGATTGAACGCTGAGCTGCTATGGCTTGTTCATACTGGAACGTAGGATAACCTGCCCTCTCCATACTCACACATCTCTCCTTGGAGAAGGAATACAGGAAAGTACCTAAGCCTCCCTGACGTTATATGCTTGATAGAACAGTGAACAAATAGTTATGTGTTTATGTTAAAATCCATAGCCGCCTTAAAAAACATTGGTACTACACAGTAAATCTATGGTTCTGTTTTCCGTTTCTATTGATGCCTGACCCAGCTGCAGACGCTGTTGCTGTTGCCTGAGTTTCTCTTACCCCAAATAGGCCTCACACCCCGAGACGAATATTTTTATTGTTGTTTTTCTCGTCCGTAGGGTGTGTAATAGGGGATTTATTCCCCGCTCTAGTGGTCGATAGTTAGCTCGACCACTGTATGACAAGTCTTTCTGCAACACCCCCACCCCGCATAGTTTCCCCTTTACTTTCTACTAGTTTGTGTCAGAGCACTATGGGGGGAATTTATTAAAACTGGAGCAGACAGAATCTGGAGTAGTTACCCACAGTAACTAAGCTGATTTTGGTTGTAATGCACAGCTGCTCCAGATTTTGTCTGCACCAGTTTTGATAAATTCCCCTGCGGTGGGAGGTGTCCTGTGAACGCGGGCGCAGCGGTACGTGAGCAGCGTGTGACGTGTGCTTCAGGCAGCGTGTAGAGCCCCGAACAGGGAAATCAATTGATAGCCGACGAATCGACGATCGAAAACGTTGGTAACGTTTTCAATCGTCGATTTTAATCGACTAAATCGATTAACTGTTGCAGCTCTACTTCTGGAACAACATTTTTCAAATTTATCGACAAGTGACTGGCTCTGACCTCAGTCCATCTCCCAAAATTGCTCTTTTATCCATCTTCCCAGGCCCCATCTCGCAATTCAAGAAAAATCTCCTCCGTTTTTTTGTTTCCTCAGCTCGCTCTCTAATACCTAGACACTGGAACTCGGCTGGAGTCCCCACCATCGGGGAATGGATCGCAGAACTGTGTCGCATTATGCACTTGGAATCGCTGACGGCTCACATACACGACAGGAACTCACAATGGAATACCACTTGGGCACCCTTGGGCTCTTGTACATGGACTCGGATGATTTCAGATCGCTTTAACTTCCCTACATAGCATGTTGATATCTTACTTCTCCTGGTTAACGGCATTGTCGCTCGCCTCAGTAAAACATTATCTGACTACCCCCCCCACCTTTTCTTCCTTTCCCACTTTCCTCTCCTCCCTCACCTACTCCTTCCTTTCTTCTGCTCCTACCCCCTCTCCCCCCTTTCCCTTTTTTTTTTTAATTATTTTATTATTTTACATCCCCTTCCCTGTTTTATTTGTGAATACAACTGGATCATTCGATCAACCTGCACAGGTTTCCATATACGGCCAGGTCATATGGGACGCGTTGCTAACGCCGGCAAAACCTGATGGGTATCTTACTTAGCACACCTCGCAATCTCGCTAAACATGACCCTGCTTATATACCTACTTGTGTGTTTACTATGTCTTGCTTATAAGATCGAAACATAAGATTATTAATGGAACTACCTCTTGACCCAACCAGGTTCATATCTGTGGCCGAGCCATATGAGACACATTGCTCCCGTCTGAAAAACCTGACAGGTTTCATTACGTATTCACAATGTAACTCTGTTAAAATTTGATCCTGTTCTTACATATACTTATATGTATGTTTTCTTTTGTGTTATGCTTACTAGATTGAAAAATTCAATAAAACTTTATTATTTAAAAGCCAGAGTCAGCCATGCAACTGTAGCATTTTCAAAGCCAGCAAAGGTAGTCCC